CCCACAACAAGTTTGAGGGTCCAATCCCCAACACCACGGCATTCCAGAATGCAACAAAAGAAGCGTTAGAAGGTAATAGTGGATTGTGTGGAAATGTTGAAGGACTTGAGCCTTGTAACCAAGCGGTGGTGGATAGGGAAAACTCTACCGCGGGACGCAGAGTGTTTCTTATTGTGTTTCCTCTCCTAGGAGCAGTTCTTCTGTTTATTTTCTTTGGAATATTCTTCATTTCCCGTAGAAAGAAGTTCCATCCAACTGCGGAACTAGCACCCAAGACAACTGAAGTCTTTTCTCTATCAAAGTACGATGGAAAGATCTTATATGAAGACATCATTGAAGCCACCGGGGCTTTTGATGAGATTTTCTGTATTGGCAGGGGAGGCTATGGAAGTGTCTTCAAAGCCAAATTAAGATCAGGTGATACAGTAGCTGTAAAGAAGCTGCATCAAACAGCTGATAGCGGGCAAACAGATCAAAAGGAATTTTTGAATGAGATTAGGGCATTGACGGAAATTCGACACCGCAATATTGTGAAACTTAAGGGCTTTTGTTCTCATCCACAACACTCATTCTTGGTGTATGAGTACTTGGACAGAGGAAGCTTGTCTACAATCCTGAGCAATGAAGAAGAAGCTAAAAAGTTGGACTGGAACAAGCGGGTGAATATAGTAAAAGGCGTGGCTCATGCTCTATCTTATATGCACCATGATTGTATCCCTCCAATCGTTCATCGAGATATTTCGAGTAACAACATTCTGCTTGATTCGGAGTACGAGGCGCATGTTTCTGACTTCGGCACGGCTAAGCTTCTCAAACTGGACACATCAAACTGGAGTGCAGTCGTCGGCACATATGGTTATGTAGCTCCAGGTTAATACCTAAACTTGACTCTTGATCCGTCCATTTAGCTAAAGCAACGTCTTCGTGCTAACACATATATCTCCTTCTTTGTGCAGAGCTTGCTTACACAATGAAGGTGACGGAGAAATGTGATGTGTATAGCTTTGGAACAGTGGCCATCGAGGTGATCAAAGGAAGACATCCGGGGGACAGCGTTTCAACTCTATTAGCTCCAGTCGACATGGAGATCTCAGCAGTTCTGAGGAATATATTGGATTCACGCCTGCCAATACCCACACCAGGCATCGAGGATGAACTTCTGACCATCTTAAAGCTTGCAGTCGCTTGCCTATCTGCTAATCCCCAACTCAGGCCGTCGATGGAACTGATTTCTCGTGAGCTTTCAGCTTGTTCAACCATTTTCCATAATGTTCAAAATTCAGAGACACCCACTGATCCCGGGACAGATGCAACAAGTTCAAGCCGTTCACTGGATCAATCTGTAGAAGATATCGTCTGATAAACGATTTTGCTCTGTCAACCACATGCAAGAAGGTCTAGATCTTTAATGAAAAACAAAGTCGTTTTAAACTAATAAATTAAGTCTCAAACTTTTTCTAATATATTGTTTCGCTCACTGATGTGTTAGCTTCATTTGCATTTAGGAGAAATATTTTGACCGGACACAAGGTTTCGTGTTTAGCCCGATGAGGACTACATTTCGTTCATACCCAAGTAAGTATAGAACTGCCTTTTGTTTTCGAAGGAGCAAAACCTGAACTCACTGGCATCTTGTTTCATTTTTAAAGAGAACAGCCGAACTCAAGAGATATTTCAGTCGGTTTCTGTATCTAGTCTTAATCAAACCCGTGTCGTCGCGGTGAAAGCTATGTATCCACGTCAAGTTAGAGTTAGAAAATATGACTTTTGTATCAGCATAAAGTTGCTTGTCTATCTAGCGTTGTCATCTTGAAGGTGAAGGGTCGATGTAAAGTCGAAACGGAACATTTATATGAAGTCTCTGAAATCTTGTCCATTGTTAGTCCTTTCATGAGGATCATTTTGGATTTGTGTAGATACAAAATCCTCTGACATGCCTTACCAAAAAAAAAATCCTCTGACATGCAGAACAGTTTCAATCATGCATCCTTTCATAGTGCATTCAATCAGAATCTAATTGTTCTAATCGCAGTCATCAATCATAATTTTGTTTTGTTATACGTTGTCAAGCGATGTGGGACGATATTTCAACACTTTCTCTCACGTAAACGCCCATAAGCGAAAGAAATAGCCTAGTCCTGATACCATATTAGAAAATCCAACCCAAAAGCCTAAATTAATAAGTGCAGAAATAGCACAAGAATATAAAGAGCATCTGGAACGCGTTGTCAAGCGATATAGGCCAATATTCCAATATGGTATTTGGTGTAACTCACTCTTGAGAGAGTGCATTCAATCAGTTCCTATTCCGAGTGCAATGTGCAAGTTGTTATGGCATGGGTATTTATTAGACCTTGTCTCTTAGGTTTATCTAATGTTATTCCAGTAAAATTGATAATCGTACAACTTTTATATAGATTTGTCAAACTAGTAAGTCGGGTTGAGTCTAGTCAAAAATGGATCCGACTCAAATTAACCAATTTAACTCATATAATCCCATATTTATGTAATACAATTTTAGCGACTCATATCCCAATCCACCTGGACCCAACTCATACTCAATCCAACTAGGTTTTGATTCCTAGTAATTTTTTTACTTGATTATGGAAAATAGCATACTGAAAGAAATAACCAACTGAAAGCAAATGTCCATCTTGCAGCCGCGAGATTATTTAATCAAAGCAAGGCAATGGTTCTCACTAATTTGATTTATTACAAAAATAATAAATGCAATAAACTAAAGTAAAAATGAATCCCAAAGCTTATAAATAAAAGGAAGATAAGTTCTTATAATGTTTAGATTCCAGCGATGGTCATTAAACTTCGACATAATCAAAGTGTACACACATTCATAATCCAACAACGAAATCATTACCCCGTGTAACATGCGGGAATATTTGTATTGGGGCCATCAAGCACTTCAAAAATTACAAAATAATCACAGCGCATGAGCTCAAAAAATATAAATCATTTGACATAATGGTGCATTTATTTCACTAAATATTTCACGATAAAAAAAAATATTTATCATCAAAACCATTTTCACGTAAAATAATTAATTTTATTTTGTTTAGTAGTTTACGGAAAGTGATTTCCTCCTTGGTAGAAGAGAAAGTTATTTTCCCCAATCGAAAAAACTTGTTGTTTTCAGTTTCTGGAAAAACGTTTTCTGTAAATCGAATAGTTTTCCGTCATCCAAACACAGGAAAGTCGGAAAACAATTTTCAGTAACAGTTTTCCTTCAAACAAACGAACCCTAAATCACGATCGCGAATTATTTTTCTACTTGTAAGTGCAATAAAACAAAAGAGCGGACCTCCACAACCACATTATCGTTTGTCGAAAAGGGCTCGAACAAGCAGGCCAAAGACGATCTTGATTTTTCTTCTTCTTCAATTTTCCTTTCGATTAATATGGGTTTGCAAGTGGGTATGGTCCAGACGCAGTAGCTCGATCATCAGCTGTAATTTCTGCAGGAATGAAGTCAACCGGCGCCAGATTTGACTTCATTAGAGGACTCCCCTTCGGCGCATTCAGAACTGCATAATGTGTGAAACGAATTTAGGATTTGATCACTCTCCACAACGACTTCTCTGTCAAATTCTCTGGATTTCTAACTATGGTGGGGTCGAAACAGCGACGGATCCGAGTCAGAAAGCCGCCAAGGAAGACTGAATGGAAGAAAGCTCCAAAGTCTTGATGGAACCAAAAATTCGTCTAAGGTCCCGTTTGGTAACGTGCCAAACAGTGAAAATTTCTGTTCTTTTGTTCCCAGAAATAGTTTGGGAACAGAAATGCGTTTGGTAAACTTTTTGTTTCCGGGCACATTTTTGCAAATATTTATGCCGAGAAACAGTTTTGGAAGAGAAACAAGAAGTAAAAAAAAGTTGCTTCTTGTTTCTCGGTACAATTTTGAGAATTAGTTTTTTTTCTTCTTTTTCTTTTTTTTCTTTTCTTCTTTTTGTGTTGCTCTTCTTGGGTTGTGGCCGGTCGCCAGGCGACCGGCCACAGCCCAGGGCCGGCGAGGGCGTCACGGCCCTCGCCGGCCGCCGGCGGAGGCGAGGGTCCCCCTACGGCGAGGGTGAGGCGGACCCTCGCCGCGGGCGAGGCGGCTCGCCGTCGGTCATGGCGAGGTCGGCCTCGCCCCGGATCTGGCGAGGCCGAGCCTCGCCGTCGCGACCCACGGCGGCCGACCTCGCCATGGGTCGCAACGACGAGGCTCGGCCTCACCGGATCCGGGCGAGGCCGACCTTGCCGTCGCGACCCACGGTGAGGCTCGGCCTCGCCGTGGTCGCAACAGCCTCGCCCGGATCCGGCGAGGCTCGGCCTCGCCCGGATCGCCTTGCCGTGGGTCGCAACGGCGAGGTCAGCCTCGCCCAGATTTGGCGAGGCCGACCTCGCCATGATCGACGGCGAGCCGCCTCGCTCAGGCGGCGAGGGTCTAGCCCTCGCCCTCGCCGGCAGGGGGGACCCTCGCCTCCGCCGGCGGTCGGCGAGGGCCGTGATGCCCTCGCCGGCCCTGGGCTGTGGCCGGCCGCCGGTCGCCGGCAACCGGCCATGGCCTGGGTAGAAAGAAAAAAAAATTAAACAATTCAAAATATTATTAATAAAAAAAAATTTGTGTGTAGTTACCAAACGCATTTCTGTTCTTTTCTATTCCAGGAATAGAAATTTTGGACAGTTTACCAAGCGCCTTCAAATGCACAGAAATTGTTTTCGGGCACAAAATAAAAAAAAATCATTTCTGTTCAGAAATAGTTCCCGGGCACAGAATGATTGTCATGCGCATCCTAAGTCGACTGTCGGATGCTGACTGCCAAGCTATATCCACTGACTTTTCTTAGCCTTCCTTAAAATAATGATTGTTATTGCATGCCCGTTGTAATGGAAGACGATAGAAAGGGGAGTATTCACGAGCATCTTAAGCATCACTCAGTGCCTCAGGAACAAAGAAAACCAACTTCCCATAACCAAAAAGAAGAACAGAAGAATAAGAATCCATGGATACTTCGCCAGAATTCAAGAGGGTCATGAGCCTTGTGACAGCCCTTGCCCTTTTTGCTACCTTTGTCATTCCACTTCCTGTTCATGCTTCCCCTGCGGAAGCACAAGCCCTCCTCGACTGGAAGTCCAGTCTTGGCAACCATTCGGTTTCTTCCCTTTCTTCGTGGACTCCCTCTCCTCATAATGCCACCGGCTCCGGTTCGACTGTGAGTCCATGCGCTTGGTATGGCATCTCCTGTGATCGGGCGGGGACCGTGATCAGGATTAATCTCACCAGCGCCTATGTCGAAGGTACACTTGAGGAATTTCCATTCTCATCTTTGTCTCATCTCCTGTACATGGACCTAAGCATAAATAGTCTCTCCGGCCGCATTCCGCCTCAAATCAGTCTCTTGAGCAATCTCACCTATCTCGACCTCTCTATCAATCGGTTCTCGGGCATAATACCGCTAGAGATTGGCCGTCTAACGAAACTATAGGTCCTACACCTGGTTTTCAATGATTTGAATGGCTCGATTCCCCTAGAAATCGGGCAGTTGCATTTGCTTAGTGAGGTCGCGTTGTATTCCAATCAGTTGCATGGATCCATACCTTCCTCATTGGGTAATTTGAGCAAATTAGCTAGACTGTATGTCTACAACAACTCCCTTTCTGGTTCTATTCCTCCTGAAATGGGAAATATGACAAATCTGGAAGTGCTTCACATGGACACCAACTTCCTAACAGGACCGATTCCTTCCACTTTCGGGAACTTAACCAAATTGACAGAGCTGCACCTGTTTTCTAATGAGCTTACCGGTTCCATCCCTCAGGAGTTAGGGAATTCGAACCTTCTTAGCACGTTGAGCCTTTATGATAATAATCTTACCGGTTCAATCCCGTTGACATTAGGCAATTTGATAGAGCTTACCTTTCTTTATCTCTATGGTAACCAGCTTTCGGGTCGCATTCCTGATGAGATAGGAAATCTCCGCGCTGTGGTTGACGTAGAGCTGAGTACAAATTAGCTCACTGGCCCAATTCCTTCTTCTTTGGGTAACTTGACCAGCCTAGTATATTTATTCCTCCGCGAGAATCAGCTTTCTAGTTCGATTCCTGGATCCTTCGGTGATCTAGTAAAACTTGGAGGTGCTGCAATTGGATACCAACCGGTTCACCGGCTCCTTACTGGATAACTTGTGCCGAGGTGGGTTGCTGCAAAACCTCACAGTGAGTGACAACAACTTAACTGGTTCTATCCCTAGAAGCTTGAGAAATTGCACAAGCTTAGTCAGAATACGCCTCGAGGAAAACCAGCTCACTGGAAATATATCCGAGACCTTTGGTGTCTACCCCAACTTGGACTTTATCGACATGAGTTTCAACAAGTTCTATGCAGAAATCTCAACAAATTGGGGAAGTTGCATGCGTTTAAGTGATCTAAGAATTGCTGGAAATAACATCACCGGTAGCTTGCCTCCTGAGATTGGAAACGTGACTCAACTGTGCGCAATTGATCTTTCTTCCAATGGTTTAGTCGGCGAGGTTCCAAAAGAATTTGGAAAATTGACCTCTTTAGTGAATTTGAATCTAAGCAGGAACCGACTTTCTAGCCAAATAAGTCCCGAGATTGTATCGCTACCTGCTCTTCAAAAATTGGATTTGTCCAGGAATAGATTTAGCATGTCTATCCCGCAGACTATAGGGCTTTCTTCAAACTTGGTCCTCTTGGATCTGAGCAACAACCAGTTGAGCCAAGATATTCCAGGGCAATTAGGGATGCTAACTCATTTATCCGAGCTAGACTTGAGTTATAACTTGTTAAGCGGTGAGATCCCAGCTCAATTCAGCAAGCTGCAAAGCCTAGTGAAACTTGACCTTTCACACAATAATCTTTCTGGCCTTATATACAAGATTTTCGAGGGTTTGCCAGGTTTGGCGGAGGTTGACATTTCCCACAACGAGTTTGAGGGTCCAATTCCCAACACCACAGCATTCCAAGATGCAACAAAAGAAGCGTTACAAGGTAACAGTGGATTGTGTGGAAATGTTGAAGGACTTGAGCCCTGTAATCAAGCGGCAGTAAATAGGGATAAATCTCCGGCGGGACACAGAGTGTTTCTTATTGTGTTTCCTCTGCTAGGAGCAGTTCTTCTGTTTGTTTTCATTGGAATATTCTTCATTTCCCGTAGAAAGAAGTTCCATCCAACAGCAGAACTAGCACCCAAGACAACTGAAGTCTTTTCTCTATCGAAGTACGATGGAAAGATCTTATATGAAGACATCATGGAAGCCACCGGGGCTTTTGATGAGGTTTACCGTATTGGAAGGGAAGGCTATGGAAGTGTCTTCAAAGCCAAATTAAGATCAGGTGATATAGTAGCTGTAAAGAAGCTCCATCAAACGGCTGATACTGGGCAAACAGATCAAAGGGAATTTTTGAATGAGATCAGGGCATTGACGGAAATTCGACACCGCAATATTGTAAATCTTGTGGGCTTTTGTTCGCATCCACAACACTCATTCTTGGTGTATGAGTACTTGGACAGAGGAAGCTTGTCTACGATCTTGAGCAATGAAGAAGAAGCTAGAGAGTTGGACTGGAACAAGAGGGTGAATATCGTAAAAGGCATGGCTTGTGCTCTATCTTATATGCACCATGATTGTAACCCTCCAATCGTTCATCGAGATATTTCAAGCAACAACATTCTGCTTGATTCCGAGTACGAGGCACATGTTTCTGACTTCGGCACTGCTAAGCTTCTTAAGCTGGATACATCAAACTGGAGTGCAGTCGTCGGCACATATGGATATGTAGCTCCAGATAAATTTCTAAAATCAACTCTTGATCCGAAGGTTGACCTAAAGCACTGTCTTTGTGCCAATACATATACCTCCCTCTTTGTGCAGAGCTCGCTTACACAATGAAGGTGACGGAGAAATGTGATGTGTATAGCTTTGGAATAGTGGCCATCGAGGTGATCAAAGGAAGACATCCGGGTGACAGCATTTCTTCTCTATTAGGTCCGGTCGACATGGAGATCTCAGTTGTTTTGAAGAATATATTGGATTCACGCCTGCCTACGCCTACCACAGACATCGAGGCTGAACTTTTGACCATCTTCAAGCTTGCATTGGCTTGCGTATCTGCTCATCCCCAACTCAGGCCGTCAATGGAAATGATTTCTCAGGTGCTATCTGCTCGTTCGACCATTTTCCATGGTGTCCAAAATTCACAGACAGCCACTGATCCTGTGAGACATGCAAAAGCTTCAAGCCGTTTACTAGATCAATTTGCAGAAGATAACGTCTGATAAACGATGCTGCTCTGTCAATCACATGCAAGAAGGTCTAAGATCTTAAATGAAAATTAGAGTCGTTTAAACTAGTTCATTAAGTCTCACAACTTTTTTAATCTATTGTCTCGCTCACTGATGTGCTTACTTTATTTGCATTTAGGAGATATATTTTGACTGGCGACAAGAACTTTGTGTTTAATCCATATCAGCATGACGATGAGGGCTACATTTCGTTCATGCCCAAGTAAATATAGAACTGCCTTTCGTTCTGGAAAAAGTAAAACCCGAACTTACTGGCATCTAGTTTCATTTGTAGAGAGATGACAGCTGTCAACTGATATCTCAAACTGTTTCTGTATGTAGTCTTAATCAGATTAGTGTCGTGGTAGTGAAAGGTAAGTATCCACGTCAAGTTATAGTTTAGACAAATGTGACTTTTATATTAATGTAAAGTTGATGATGAATCTACTGTTATCATCTTGAAAGCAAGGTGTTTATGTAAAATTGGAATGGAACATTTATATGAAGTTTGTAGGGCTTCGTTTGCTTGGCGGAAAATGTAACATTTCTGGAAAATATTTTTCAGGTAATCATTTTCCAGGATAATGACAATATTCTCCATTGTTTGGCTGAAACTTGAAAATGAACTAGAAAATATTTTCAGTCAATTAGTTAGAAAATTTTGATTTGATTTTCCTAAATAAACATACCTTATTCGAGCGTAGCCGGGAAATTAAGCACAGGTACCAAGGCCCCAGGTTTGGCCTCAATGGACCTCGACTCGGGCGTGGGTACCTAGGTCTCGGGCATCGATTCTAGGTCTGGTCTCGATTGACCCAAGTGTGGGTGTCAAGGACCCAAGCAAGGGAACTAGAGTCTTGGGCCTGACCTTGATGGACTCATGCCCGGCCTCGATGGACAGGGGCACGAGCACCAAGGTCCTGAGATTGGCCTCGATGGACCCAGGCGCAGGCGCCAGGGTCTTGAGATTGGCCTCGATGGACTCGAGGAGAGGCGCCAGGGTCTCGGACCTGACCTCAATGGACTCGAGCCTAAGCGCTGAGGACCTAAGCACTAGCGTCGAGGTCCCACCTGGCCTCAATAAACGCGGGACTAGCTTTGATGGACTCGGGCACTAGCATCGAGATCTCGGGCCCGACCTTAATGCACTTTGAGGCCCGAGCTCGACCTCAATGGACCCATGCCTGGCCTTGATGGACACGGGCCCGGCCTTGATGGACTCGGTCCTAGGCACCGAGTCTCGGGCCCGAGCACTGTGAACTTGAGCTCGGCCTCAGTGGACCCGTGCCCGGGCACTGGGGATCTGAGCACAAGCATGAGCACTGAGGTCTCGCGCCTAGCCTTTATGGACCTGGGCTGAGGTGTCAAGGAGCCGAGCAACGATACCAAAGTCTAGGCCTAGCCACTGGTATTGGTGTCCCCAACCCAACCTCTGTGGACCCGGGCTTAGGCATCAGGGTTCCAAACCCGACCTCTTTGGATCTAAGCTTCGCCTCGATGGATCTTGGTGGACTCGGCCCAAGTTCGTTACCATGGACCCGGGAACAAGCCTTAGGGTTTCTGTGCCTAAATTCAGAGTTTTTGATCCGAGCACCGATATATAATCATATATAGGAAAATTTTGATTTTTTAAAGAGGAAATCATTTTACATAATTTGAGTATAGATTTTCCGTTAATGCATTTTCCTAAGCTATTCAAATGCCGGACAATGTTTTCTCCAAAAATGTTTTTCGCGAAACTAACAGAACCTAAAATCTTGTCAATTGGTAGTCCCTTTATACATGCCGAAGAGTTTCAATCATTCATCATTTCAGAGTGCATTCAATCAGAAACAAATTGTTTTTAATGGCGGCCATCTGCCATGATTTTTTGTTTCGAGTGACTTACAACACTTGTGTAACACAACCCAGAGTACATTCAATCAGTTCCTATTCCGAGTGCTACAAGCATGTTGCTTTGGCATGAGTCTTTATCAGAAGTTCAGTAGATTCTAATTCCTCCAAAAAGAATATGGCATTAGAGGGAATACGGACTTCGTTTTCATAAGAAAGAATCTCAAGAGGAGATTCAATAGTCCAATGCTTTGTCTCAGAAAGAATGCAAGTTCTGTTCGTTACTACTTTATACATCAAGAGTGAGAAGGCAGACGATATCCTGCCCTCCAAAATCTTGAGGGAATCAAATCATGCTGGTCTGTTTTCGCTTGGCCTCACTCCATTGTCAAACACAAGTAGAACCCATTTACGTTGTAGCTCACCATCAGGCATCAACCATCTTTTCTGTTTTTTCAGAATAGTGAACTTATATTGCCTTATGCAAAACATGTCAGAAAAACATCCCTCTTGTACTTCATCCGGAAAACGGAAAACAGTCTATGAGAGCTCAGAGTTTTCCGAATTTGAAATTGGAAATTTAGTAGACCAATGTTTGATGCTGCCCTCGATCAATCTAAGTAATGATCGACATCGTAAAATCATAGTTTCAGAAAACTTTGTGAATTGAATAGTAATAGGGGGAAATATGTAGTAACAACTATCCGAATCGAGGTGTAGCGAGGCAGTGAGTTATGTTCCCCCAACCTTCTCTGGCAGTTGGGTCAATTCAATCTTAATTCTTGAATGTGCTTCATTTCTTAGTAGAAAGGCAAGACGCAAGACGCAATGTCAAGAAAGAACCATCCTCAAACATGTGTTCCACTAGTTAAATACTTGCTGATGCATAAAGCTTAGTTCAGTCTGACTTTATTAGGAAGAACTTCATCTCGAAGCATACATTACACCTGCACATTCACCCTCCTTTGCTTAATGATAATGGACATACTATAGACGATCAGTAACTTATAATTGCTTGCTTAGCTGACCAACTGCAACTCAACCCTAGATTAGATTGAGAATATTCATATCCATATGATTCCCCGGGTAACTCACTTGTATGTCTTAGATATGTACAGAAGCCTATTCCCAATCTTTAAAGCACGTCTCGCAGAGCATACGCGCGAAAAGGTTAAAAATGTTCACACGTGCGTAAAAGGCATTAAGGGTCCGTTTGTTTGAAAAAAAACTATTTCCCAAAAATAATCGATCTACGAAAAAAGTTTTTCATGGACTTAAAACAGCATGCTAAGATCGGGGAAAACGACTTTCCCTTGCTAGCAAGAAGGAAATCAATTTTCCTCAATCACCCAAAAAATGAAAATAATTTTCATGGAAAATAAGTTATTTTATCATGAAGTTTTCAATTAAACAAATGCACCCTAAAATTGCTTAAATACGTTTCGAGTTTGAATCCGTGAACGAAATCCGATTCAAAATTGGGCGGGAGAAAATATGAGTTGGACATTGTAATTGACTTGTTGAAACTGGATGAAGCAAAGAGCAAAAGGGGAAACTAAAGGAAATTGACTTTTCTCGTAGATCACAACGTGCTCAAATTGAAGAGTGTTTTAGTAAAGAAATCATGTACGAAGATTTTGGGTACTTCTCTATGAAATTGAGAGATTGTTTCGCGAGAAATTACAAGATATAAACAATATGTGACGTTATTATGTGTAATTGAAGACTGAGAATTAAAAGTGTTTGAGTGACTTAAGTGTGATGGTAATTCCCGTTAATGCATGTTTGTTTACTCCTATGCCAAGGTAAAAAGTATTTTCTGCTTTTCGGTCAAAATTCAAAATTGTATTCAAATTTCAGAAAATTACGAAAAAAAAAAAAATTTTGCGGATGTATATGTCAACATTTGAGTATCGTGAAAGTCTGAGGGCTTTTAGATGAAAAAAAAAGTATTAAAATGACCGAACCGCAAGATTTAGATTAAGCAAAAAGCAAAAGCTGGAATTATAAATGCGAGGAATGCCAAAGTCTTGAAGAAACCTATGCTCGTGGTCAAAGTATTGGTGCTACAATCTAGAAGTCAAAATGGAGATATCAACTCTCCCATATCTTTTTGTCTAATTAATGCCTGATGATGCATGAATTCCTATAGTCAAAGATCGGTAATTTAGCAAGCAAAACAATTGTGTCCCACGTTGAAAAGAAGAAAAGAAACAAAGAAAACAAAGTTTAGCAAGGTGGAGTCAAGTCAACCACTTACTTCTGCACCCATGAGACTCTGCATAAACAAACCAGACAATTGTCAGTAGCTGAAACATCATAGTCAGAAGCATTTAAAATCCTGGAATGGGATGAGATCTTTGAAAGCTGGCCTTTGACTAAAGGGATTAAAGAAAATGACAGGAACAGAGCAGCCAAAGGCTGTATATATGCCTCTGTGTTGATCATCATGCTCCAAAATCGCACCAGAAAATCATGGATTCGCCAAAAAGTTTAGAGGGAAGTGGTACATCTTCTAGCTTCCGTCGCCCTCCTCGCAATGCTTTTTAGTCATGTCACAAGGTGCAATTCCTGCGAATGGCTACTATTGTGCGATTGCATCGTTCATTACTTTTTTTCTTTAGTCTGTCTCGCATCATTCATTACTTTTTTTCTTTAGTCTATCCTACTCTAATTTTCAACTCACTCTCAGACTTTTACCCTGTCTCTTGCAGGGCATGGAAGTCGAAACTTACATCTGAAACTACACGTCCTCACCTCTAGTCCCCCCTGAGAAATTGGAGATTCGAACTCCCCACCTCTCCCTTCCCAAATAAGAAGGATGACCACCGGGGCAAACCCTAGTAGTTCATCGTTCATTACTTGATTTCATAAAAGTAGTGATTATCACTTAGTGAGCCCGGGTTTTGCTTGCTCCTTTTATTACCATCCCGGATTCCAAGAACAGAGGAGAGCAATGGATTCACGGAGAGGGCGTGGATGGGGATGGCTTTTAGGTTTTATTTTGCTATTTTTATTAAGCTTATTAGGCTGGCTCTAAAAGAAATTCGAGCTTGGTACATTCATGATATGTTTGATCTCATGATTATTTTCATTATTGCAAGGTTTTATCCGATTGGTACATTTCCGAAAACCGGTTTATTTAATTAAAAGCTTGGTGCTTTATCTTATGAAAGGATGTGGTCGTTCCCCAAATTCTAAATACAGATTTGGAGTGTGACAGTGACTATGACTAAGGTTGCGATTGCTCGCTGTTCTTTCTACCAATTATCTTGTAAGAGTTCAACCCATTTACCTTACCAAGGCTTAGCCCATGTAATCCCCTCTCTTTTCTCCTTCATTAGATGCAGGAGATGTGTGCAAAGCTAGAAAGTGTTCGCATGCAAACACAACGTGGAGGTCCTCTATTCTATATCCATCTTCAACCTCTCCCTGTCAAATGCTTGGAAGGCAATCCAGTCCCAAGTGGTTCTAGAAAGGAAGCATTAGGCCATATACAACATCCAAAGCAGATCCACTTGGTATTAAGAAGATTTATCAAGCAAGGGTCAGAGAATTTCCTAAGAAATCAATTAAACGAATGCCCTCAGTCGAATTATGGGTGCTGCAATCACAAAGTTTGAGCACAAAGATAGTGACTGGCTTCATTTTTCTTCCCTCTTAATGATAGCTGATGCACGCATTACCATTTTTAAAATAGCAGCATTTGACTGTTGGCACCCCCACCTTAAGGAAAACCCGAGATTGTAGCAAGCAAAGAGAACAGAGTTTAGGAAGCTTTGAGGCAAAGTCAAATACGTCGTTCCAAGTTCCAACCATATGGAACTCTATACACAGTGAGACTATTTCCCGATTTCACATATTGGCCAGATCATTGTTGACATCTGAACCATCCCAATCAGAAGCATTCAACGAGCAGGAAATTGGAAATCTTTGAAAATTGGCCTTCTTTGAATGGACTGAGAGAATGACAGAAACGGAGTGACCAAGCTTTTCATATATGCCTCATGGTCGATTATCAACCTCCACAACAAACAAAAGAAATCATGGGTTCACCAGAATTAGAGACACCAGTGCATCGTCTAACCTCCTTTACCCTTTTCACAATGCTTTTGGCCATCATTCCACAATGTCCAATTCCTGCTTTTGCCTCCACACTAGAAGCACAAGCCCTTCTCAAATGGAAATCCAGCCTTCAAAACCAAAACCAATCCACCTCTTCTCTATCAACATGGACTCTCCCTCCTCAAAATGCTACCGGCTCCAACGCAACGGCAGCGAGCCCATGCGGTTGGTATGGCATCTCGTGTAACCTGGCCAGAAGCGTGATGGGAATCAATCTCACCAGTTCGAACATCAGAGGTACACTCGACGAGTTCCCGTTCTCGTCTTTGCCGTATCTTACCTATATAGACATGTACATAAATGAACTCTTCGGCGGTATTCCGCCTCAAGTCGGTCTTTTGACCAATCTCACCTATCTCGACCTCTCCTTTAATCAATTATCTGGGAATATACCACGGGAGATTGGCGATCTCACGAAGCTTGAGGTGTTACACCTGATCTCTAACGAGTTGAATGGCTCTATCCCTGATGAAATAGGTCAGTTGCGTTTGCTGAACGAGCTTGCCTTGTACTCAAACCAGTTGGATGGATCCCTTCCTTCTTCCATGGGTAACTTGAGCAGCCTCGCTAGAATATACATCTATAACAATTCATTTTCTGGTTCTATTCCTCGTGAAATGGGGAATTTGACAAACTTGGAGGAGATTTACATGGATACCAACTCCCTAACAGGGCCAATTCCTCCCACTTTTGGGAAACTGACGAAACTAACCCAATTGCACGTATTTGACAATGAACTTACTGGTTCTATCCCACTTGAGCTTGGGAACTTGAAATATCTTCGTGGACTCAGCCTAAACTACAATAATCTGACGGGTTCAATCCCCTCGACATTGGGCAATTTGACAGGGCTTACCCTTCTTTATCTGTATGGCAACGAGCTTTCTGGTAACATTCCTGATGAGTTAGGAAACCTCCGAGCTATGATTGATTTGGAGCTGAGTATAAATCAGCTTGGCGGTCCTGTTCCTTCTTCTCTGGGTAATTTGACTGACCTGGAATATTTATATCTCCGTGAGAACCAACTTTCTGGTTCCATTCCTGGATTCCTAGGGGATTTGTTGAACTTGGTGGTGCTACAATTAGATACAAATCAGTTCACCGGCTTCATACCAGATAACTTGTGCCGGGGTGGTTCGCTTTCTAACCTCACCATGGCTGGCAACAACCTCACAGGTTTCATTCCCAGAAGCTTGAGAAATTGCACGAGCTTACTCAGGGTACGCCTCCAGGACAACCAACTCACTGGAAACATATCTGACAGTTTCGGCGTCTACCCGAACTTGGACTTTATGGATTTGAGTTTCAACAATTTCTATGGAGAAATCTCGGCTAACTGGGGAAGTTGTCAGCGTTTGCGGGATCTACGAATTGCTGGGAACAAAATCACCGGTAGCTTGCCTCCTGAGATCGGAAATGCGACTGAACTACAGGGACTTGATTTTTCTTCCAATGGTTTAGTTGGCGAGATTCCAAAGGAACTCGGAAAATTGACCTCTTTGGTGAGGTTGAACTTGAGCAGGAATCAACTTTCTGGCAGTATAAGTCCCGCAATCGTATCACTATCTGGTCTTCAAAGACTGGATTTGTCCAGGAATAGATTAAGCATGTCTATCCCAGAGAGTACCGGGCAGTTGGCAGACTTATTCCTCTTGGATTTGAGCAACAACCGGTTAAGCCAAGAAATTCCTGGCCAGATAGGGATGCTGGCTCATTTATCCGAGCTAGACTTGAACAATAACTCATTGATCGGTGAGATTCCAGCACAATTCAGCAGTCTGCAAAGTCTAGTGAAACTTGACCTCTCACACAACAATCTTTCGGGCCCTATATACACGATTTTCGAGGATATGCCAGGTTTGGCAGTGGTTGACATATCCTACAATGAGTTCCAGGGTCCGGTTCCAAACACCACGGCGTTCCAAGAGGCTCCAACAGAAGCATTACAAGGTAACCCCGGATTATGTGGAAATGTTGATGGACTTCAGCCTTGTAGTCAATCAGGGACGCGGAAGAAAAACTCCAACACTCATGAGAAAGTGTTTCTCATTGTTTTCCTCGCCCTCGGAGCATTTCTCCTGTTTTCTTTCTTCGGAATATACTACATTTTGCATAGAAGAAAGAAACACCGACAAGTGGAGCAAGCACACGAGAGAGAGAAATTGTTTTCTATATCTACTTACGATGGAAGGATATTGCACGAAGAAATCATTGAAGCGACTGAGGATTTTAACGAGAGATACTGCATTGGATGTGGAGGATATGGAAGAGTCTTCAGAGCAAAGCTAAGATCAGGGGTTGTGGTGGCTGTGAAGAAGCTTCATCAGATGTCTGATAGCGGGCAAACGAATCAGAAGGAGTTTCAGAATGAGATAAGGGCACTGACAGAAATACGACACCGCAACATCGTGAGACTCCATGGCTTCTGTTCACATCCCCAACACTCATTCTTGGTGTATGAGTATCTGGAGAGAGGAAACCTGTCTGCAATCCTGAGCGATGAGGGAGAAGCGAAAGAGTTGGGTTGGGATTGGAGGGCAAATATTGTGAAAGGCATAGCTCATGCTCTGTCCTACATGCACCATGACTGTGTGCCTCCCATTGTTCACCGAGACATATCAAGCAACAACATCTTACTTGATTCTGAGTATGAGGCCCGTGTTTCCGACTTCGGCACAGCCAAGCTTCTCAAGCTAGACACGTCAAATTGGACCACTGTCGCTGGGACATACGGATACATTGCTCCAGGTAATTCAATGGACAACTACTGTTCTTCTATGGTGAACTTAGAAAGTAATAATCCGCTAGTGCTAATGCATTTTCTTCTTATGCATAGAGCTTGCTTACACGATGAAGGTGACTGAGAAATGCGATGTGTACAGCTTCGGGATCATGGCAATAGAGGTGATCCATGGAAAACATCCGGGCGAAACCATCTCATCCCTATTAGCTGCATCGGATAAGGAGATTGCCAGAGTCCTGAAAAATATGCTGGATTCACGCCTACCAGCTCCAATGCCTAGCATTGAGGATGAACTTCTAGTCATCTTCAAGCTTGCAATTGCTTGTATATCCACCAATCCACGACTCAGGCCATCCATGAACATGGTTTCTCAGGTGCTATCGGCTCCTTCGGCCGCTCACTACTGTGGTCATTGTCCGGAGGTGGAGGCAACTCAGTAATATGCAAATGCAAGAGGAAATGTAGCTTATAGCAATTGAATTGATCACAGATGACTGTAGTATGATGAAGTGAGCTTATAATACATGACCAGCGATGATTCAGAAGCTACAAGAGATTGGTTGAGGCAATAATTATTACATCACACGTTTGACTCGTTACAATATCTGCTTGCAGTAGTAAATGTTGTAAATGCCTATTACAGTTAAAACTATAATATTTGTTTTATCTAATAGCTATCACGTATAATATGTGTCTATGACAGCTTACATGTGTAATAAAGTATTCTAAAGATATCCTCTCTTATCTTTTCTCCATTCAACTCTACCAATTGTTCGAGTACTCTTACTATTAATCATGATTACAATTTGCTAATGTATGATTATTTTATATTAATTAACCAATAATGGATATTGTAAATTTATTAATAATTACTACAATTATACTTTATGAACGGCGATTCAACTGTGCACAGTGGAGCAGTCAAGGAAGGGTAAGATGTCTGGCTTAAATAAAAGGGTAAGATGAATGGAAAATGGGAAATATGAGGGCAAAGATAAAGAAAAAAAAAAGGAGACCCAAAAAATAAAGTAAGAGCACATTTCAGAAGTTGAATGTGATACTGAGAGCATAAACTGAAGATATTAATTAAGGATGTCTAAAACCTCCAGTGTTTCTGATTTTTCTCATATTGCTTGGCCCTTGCTACATTCTCAGAAATTCAGCATGCCCTTGTCATGATTTAAACCAGGCATAACAGTTCGATCTTTTCGGAGAAATCTCTATGAACACAAAGTTATGACAGTACTCCGTAAATGTAGAACTCCTACGCTAACGTCCGAGGAGATCGCTGACGCTGCTCACCCCTCCCCATAGAAAAGTCAAGACATGACATGATCCAAGTAAATTTTGACCAAAACCATTCCTAAAGGTACTTGAGCAATGCTTTGCTTGCTGTTGCTGTCAAATTTTAGCAGAATGCATCAAGCAAGCATTGATAACATCTTATTGAATTAAGACCTTAGGTGGTCGGCCTAGCGGTCTCGAGGCAGAGGACGGCCGCTAAATTGGAGAAGTCCCTCAGGGCCACAGCAAAGTAAAAACATCTTATTCCTAGCAAATTGTATCCTTTACGGCTAAAATCAGTCCTGTCCCTTCGGTAGGGTTGACAAGACCTTGGTACAAATGAAATGGAGCATAAACATGCGTCCTCCAATGACAGAGAACATTGTCAATGAAATTTAATGTGTTCATGATTAATTTCCTCAACGTGGATTTTGACGGGAGAATTTTCCACATCCTATACGCGACTTCAAAAAACTGCCATAAATCACTTGGCAGCACAGCATGAATACAGAATGCAATCGATGGTCACAGTATCAGTTTCACTGTATCCCTATGATATGTATTTCAATCAAGATTGACACTATACAGGGAGTATAAAAATGGAACCGAAAAAGGCAACCATTCATTGCAGTAGATGAACTTGCAGAAAATTAGGACAACCGCTAAACCAGACGCAAGTATGAATACATAACACCAATTAGCACATTGGTCACATCTCTAGCCAATCATGTTAAATACTGGAACGTGGTTTGCCATATCCCTTGATGAACTTAATGAAAGGAGAGTAATACCAGAACATGTTCACAGTGAGAACCAAACGAAAATCCAGACACAAGACTATCACGTGAAATAGTTGGTCCAAGTCATATCTTATCAAACCAATGTGATGCTGCTCTCACCACCAGGCGGTTTGCGCACGCCGCCCAGGTAGTCCCGTCAGCAAAAATGTCATTGCACTTACCTTATGCAGTTTCGCCCCACTTAGTGGTTTTTCCGCAGATGATGGAGGAACGTCACCCTTGAAGATGTCATTTCCTAAAAGTTCAGTATATTTCTTGTCATAAATCTTCCACGCCGTCGTCAGCACAGGTTCCTCAGTGGACATTATATTGCTATGTCCTCCAGCGGGTTGATCCATATAAAAGTTTTAGAGTCAGGTCATTCTAGATCCAAGACCTCAGACAAAGATTTAGAGAAAGAATCAATATATCGCTATGCTTCCAAGAAGCACCATGGGTAATCATTGGTTAATTCCTTTGAGCTTCTCATATATTGCATTCTGCTAGCCCTACTCGATGAGAAAAAACTTCAACAAGTATCAAATGTCATGTGATTGACTTATATCTGAGTGCGACAACCGATAATAGCATGTCTTCATTGAATAAAGTATTACCCAGGCTCAAAGCCGTAAAGGAAGAGGGGAGGTGGTTACTTTCAACTGACATGCTGTATCAGTTGCCACATGCCTATTTTCTCGTGCTTAAGACAGAGGGAAGAGTAGGGACAGACACAACAAAGACACTTACATTAGAAACTTTGACAGACGTGCGTTACGTGGTGCGGGTTCTCCCATGTCTTGATGCATTGCGGGTGAGCGTGAAGCCACCATCCTGGGCAAGATTTCAGGTGGAGGTGCAAATATGTCATGCCCACTGAGCTCTTTGGTCTTAGCAAGAGAAATCTGCTTTTTCAACATCCCGTCCAACTCACTTTCCAGCGTCCCGCTCAATTCGCGTTGTTTCGCAACCTCAGGCAGAGTAGTTTGTTTTCTCGTAGAAACGATCTCTTCCAGATGTGACTGATTCCAGCATGGGCTTGCTAGCAATGTTTTAAGGAGGAAGTCAAAAGTAAATGAAGAATCACTATGGAGATTTAAGATTGTGCATGCAGAACTTTGAATATTCAAAAGGATAATTTGGACGTGGCACATTTGTCTCAGCCAAAAAAAAACAAGGAAAAGTAGAAACAGAAGCACCTGGTACATTCGGATTCCTGTTCTGATGTTTGGAGTAGTATTGCCAGACTCTGACGGATCATTTTCTCCACTACCCGAAAAGATGCCGCTTCCAGTTATCTCCTTCATTTTGTGATCCGAACATTTCCTAGAAGTTGCAAAAAAGCGGCTTCAATGTATAGAAAGAAGGAAGGAAGGAAAGAAAGAATGAATGGAATGAATGGGAATATATACATATAGTTATGCCCAAACATTTTCATGGAACATATGGGGAAAATTTATCTTTTGCATTTTTTTCATAGTCATAAGTTGCCGGTGGCCACTATATACTAAGAACTCATTCCCTAACACTGAACTTGTAAATCAAGCTCATTTATTAAACGGGACAGGTGCACATTATAATCCATTCAGAATTCACAGTAAGAGAAACGAAGATTTTAGAATGCTTATAAAGCATGTTTAGCCAAACTTAATTCATCTCGAATGGCATTAAATACTTGCAGCATCCAACACCAAAAAGAAAATGATTAGATAGGAGTATGGGGTAACGATCCTGTATATCGACCGTAGTTCCTCTGAGCCCAAAGTAACTCAGTGCTGAGTCCTACCATACCCACGAAAACTAATTGATCTGGCAAACTAGAGTTTATTCATCTTCCCGGAGGAGAGGCTTTTGCCCAATTACAACCGAAGCCCAGATGGGTGGCCTTAAAAGTCACATTCCGAATGTATAATTATGTGATAATATGGACGGCCGAAGTTGTTAGCGGTCTAAACCGGAAGAAAGTACAATTTACTTAACTATTAGAATCACGTGATGCTGAACTAGCATCGTTACTCGCACTTATCTCAACCGCGTGTGTTTGCAAAGGGTTGGATAAGTTTGTGAGGATTAATGTGAGATTGGCGCAAAACGTAAGAGAGAGTAGGAAAATGGCAAGGAAAAAGATAGTATAGTACAATGCTCAGTCTCAGAAAGAATGCAAGTTCTGTTCTGGTAATACCTTATACTTCAAGAGTGTGAAGCCAGACGATATCCTGCCCTCCAAAATCTTGAGGGATTGAAATCATGCTGGTCTGTTTTCGATAGGCGTCGCTCCATTGTCAGATACAAAGCAAAACTCATTTACGTTGAAGCTCACCATCAACCATCTTTTCTGTTTTTCAGAATAGTGAACTTATATTGCCTTTTGCAAAACATGTCAGGACAACTTCCCTCATGTACTTCATCTGGAAAATGATGGACAGTCTGTGGGAGCTCAGAGTTTCTGAACTTGAAATAGAAATTATAGTAGACCAATGTTTGATTCCGCCCTTGATCGATCTAAGTAAAACCCAACATCATAAAATCATGGGAAAGTAACATAAATGGTCCTTGAACTTTGACCAAATGTGCAATGTTGTCCAAATATGCAATGTCGTCCCTGAACTTTTAATTTGTTCAATATAATCCATGAACTTTACCCTAATTTGCAATGCTGCCCCTAAACTTTTAATTTGTTCAATATGGTCCGGAACTTTCGGTACATGTTCAATTTAGTCCCTAGACTATATCAAAATGTTCAATGTTGTCCTTGAACTTGAATTAATTGAACGATAACATTGGACATTTACATATAATTTAGGGACTAGATTGAACATTTACCAAAAATTCAGGGACCACATTGAACAAATTAATAGTTCAAGGACAATATTGCACATTGGATCAAGTTCAAGGACCATTTGTGCAATCATCTCCAAAATCATAGTTTCGAAAACTTTGTGAATTGATTAGTATAGGGGAAAAAATGAAGTAACAACTATCCAAATCAGGGTGCCGTGAGACAGTGAGTTGTGTTCCCCCAACCATCTCTTGCAGTTGGGCCAATTCAATCTTAATTCTTGATTGTGCTGCATATCTTAGAAGAAAGGCAACAGGCAATATGCAATGTCAAGAAAGAACCGTCTGGTGCCAACAGTCAACTTCTTCATTATGCCAAAAAGCATCCTCAAACATACGTTCCACTAGTTAATACTTGCTGATGCATTTCCATAGTCAAACGGGAAAATCACAGGAAGATAAGATCGAGGGAAAGCTTTTAAGCATCCCTCGGGGACCTGAGGAAAATCAACATTTACACCAAAAGAGAAAACAA